AAAAAAAATTGTCCCGAGGTAAGCTAACAAAATACTCCGGTCTTAGTGTGAGGACGGCGATGAGTAGAGACGTGCGCGGCTTATCAACATCAAAACACCCTCGGAACATTTTCGTGTGAAACAAGTGGAATATTATGTTTCAAACTACCGAGTGCTGACCAGTTAAAGAAATCATTTCGAGCGTGGGACGACCACTTCATCGCATTTTTGCGCGACAGCGTTGTGTTTCTGCACTGCTAAGCTGATGATTAACGCCTTATGAGCACTTAGATGATGCCTTACTATTCTGCCGTGCTAAGGAAAAACGCCGTATGAGCCTTTAGGCGTTGCCAAAGTTCCTTTGATAAGTCGCTAATTTATAGGTAAATTGTTTATATTTTTCAGTCGATTTCTCGGATGATTTCGTTTGTAATTTGATCTAAATTGCCTGAAAATTTAAAAGAAAAAATATTCTTAACTTTCCTCAAAAATAAACATTTTATGGGATAAAAGTTGGCATAACTCTCAAATTTTCATACAGCGTTCTTTCTTCAGCAGTATTGACAAAACGTTTATTTTTCAAAAGAATTGTGAACATTCCACGGTGGAAATTTCAGATGCACTGGATTGAATTTGCGAATAAAATTCCTCCGAGGAAAAAAGTTCGCAAGTATCTGAAGAATTTTTGTGGCATCCGAATATTTCGTCGCTCCCCCGGCGCACAGTGGATCGAGTCAATAGGAGGTCGGACAACATTTGGGAACTTTAAAAGCTTATAGCTCCGTTTATGCAAATTTTTAGGATCTAAAATTGGGTCTATTGGTTTCCTTGTAAAATTTTCTTCCGGAAGCACCCCTTGAAATTTACAATGTGACGAAATAAACATCAAAATTTGCAGTTTCATACAGAATTTCAAATCCGACTTCTTAAATGGACTCGATCCACTGAGAGTCGAAAGATCAATCAGAGAGGTCGAACATGAATTTTTTGACTAAAACTGCAAATTTTGATGATCAATTCGTCAAATTTTAGATTTCAAGGGGTGGTTCTAGGAGGAAATTTTACGAGGAAACCAATGAGACCACTTTTATAATCTCAGATTGCTGTATGAACGGAGTAATGAGCTTTTAAAGTTTCAAAATCTTGTCCCACCTCATCCATTGACTCGATCCACAGTGCGGCATATGGGCGTATCTCGATTTCCGGATGAGCCCCAGGATGCATGGATTTGGATGTAAAACAGGGCTCACGTGGAGATTGAGACACGCGGTTACGTCAGAACGGCGACGAATTGTGCAGGGTTTTGTCTGAGTATGGGAATATAGACGGTGGGTTACGGCGCGTTATTTGCATTTGGGCGTTGGATCGTTCATTATCCAATTTAAAAGTCGTTGATCGAGTTTCGAAGCGCGACGCGCACCTTGGCCGAGTTTGGCGCGGGGGTCGGTCGCTACCGGTGCCGGTCGATCGGATCGGCTCCGACGATCGATTCAAGAGCAAGCGACGGCCTTTCAACCTTGCAGCGGTTCCCAGCCGCCACCGCCGCTAAGGAAACAACGCGCGTCACTGGAATAGCTCTGCTTTCGAGCGGCCATCGGGCGATCTAATCGTAAAAACCTACTGCTTTCGCTATGCCATTACATGAATGCAGAAATTTGTTTAACCAGGGAGCATGCGCACGCCCTCTGACAGCTACGCGTTTCAATCCCCACACTGAAAAAAAATTCTCGGCGTTTTTACCAAGGTCCGTTGGTACCTTTACCATCTCACTTTTTTTACCAAGAGAGACTGGTGAGCTTACCTGAAAACCGGTATTTTTACTGTTTTTTCAGGTAAGAATACCACTTTTATTGGTAATCAATTCCCGGTAACTTTGCCATTTTATCTCGGTAATTCTACCACAGTCGATAAAAAATATTGGCGTTTTTACCGGGGTCCAGTAAAATTACCGAGAAAGTCAATAATTTCACCGAAATTTCTCGGTAAAATTACCAATTCCATAAATGGTAATTTTACCAAGAAAAAACTGGGATCAAATAGAACCCTGAATTCTTGGTAATTTTACCCTTTTCTTAGTAAATACACCAAGATTTTTTTTTTTTTCAGTGAATCCCCAAGGCGTTTTGCGCCTCAAGCGTTTTGCGCTACTCATTACTCTTATGGTGTTATACGCGAATGAGTGACCCATCGCTTCTAGAAATAGAGGTTGGAGATAGTTTTCAGGCTTTGTTGTTCGAAGCGTGAAACCGACTCGAAAAAGCATATCAAGGTGACTTGGCGATTTTCCCCTGAAATTTTCGTAATTTTAATTTCGTATTTTTAAATTTCAGCCGAAGAAACGGACACAGGATATGCTAAGATCCACGGAGATGGATTTCTGAAGGAGGTCAGCAGGAATTTCTAAGAGAGATCGGGTCCGTACTCCGTAATGATAGAGTGCGTCAGATAATGGAAGTCGAAAATGACATCGTGTTCGACGTCATGACCGAACAGCTTGTTCGGTGCGGTCATGTCAATAGGATGACGGAAGAGAGGCTGCCAAAAAGGATGCTTGATTGGGTTCCTCCTGGGAGGAGACGAAGGGGCCCCCGGTGAAAGGTTGGCGACAGGGGGTTATGAATGAGATGAGGGAATGCCAACTCCCTGATGAGCCGTGGGAGGACCGAGTTTGGTGGCGGTTAGGCGTCGCAGAGCGCCGGAGAGCGCTGTGAGAACGACCCTGATATGTATTTATTTTCGTAATTTTCCCTGACATTTCCAGGTAATCCCTGACTTTTTAAAAATCCCTTATATTTCCCGGGTTTCCTAGTATTCCCTGATTGTGGCAACCCTGTATTAGTCAACCCAGTGTCTTACTTCTCTTTAAAAGGGTATTATTTTTCCATTTCTGGTTATTAATTGCATAATTACTACATTCTTTTTAAAAGCACTTTTTGAAAGGAAGTGTTGAAGAGACCTCCGTGCATGTTCCTACCGGTATAACGACCCATGAAAGTACAACGCAATTTAAGGCATAATTAGCCACGTCCACAACAGTCACTGCTCTGCCGTGCTAAGGAAAAACGCCGTATGAACATTCGAGAGTTGCCAAATTGCCCCGGATAAAACATGTATTTTTGAGGAAGATAATGCATATTTTCCCTTGAAATTTTCAGTCATTTTAGACATAATTGCGAACAAAATTGTCTGAAAAATTGAAGAAAAACATTCACAATTTTCCCAGTAAATTAGGTCTTTATTGAAGGAAGTGTGGCAACGCCTGAAGGTTCATACGGCGTTCTTCTTTAGCATGGCAGTGCTGTGGTCTCTTGTCCACATCTTACATAAATCCCGCCGAAACTTCCACCGGGTCACGGGGGAGCCGAAGTTGCTCGAGAAAGTGTAGCGGGGGAAAACGGACCGGGAGTCAATAAAACGGCCACTCTTGAGTGCTAAATGAGAAGCG